CTTCCGCGGATCTTAGTAGTTCCGCGGGGGCGAATTGCTCGGGTTTTCGCGGTTAGGGTTTCTACCCGACCGCGAGCGAACCAATGAGCTTTTCCTGCTCTTCCGATTTTTTGTTAAACTCGGAAAACATCTTCTCGAGGGTCTCGGCGTTAGCGTTTGTAGCGTTGGCCGCAGACGCTCCTTGTGGTGGTGTTGAGTCAACGTTATCGCGTTCGTCGCGAGTTTGGTTGTCACCAGTCATCGTTTCTTCGTTGGACATGTTGCGGCTTCGGTGTAAGATAGATCCGACCCCCCTCCTTCTAGCGCCAAACTGTGGGAACCAAAATCCACCTACGTCAAATAATCGTAAATAAGGAAACTTCGGGAAAACCCTAAGTTTCCAGAGGAACCGGCTATCTGCAGAACCGCACAACGAAGATTAAGATAACAAAATACTTAGAAACTTTAAATGAATAAACGAAAATCGAGAGCAAAGGGGGTTCTTATTCCGAATCTGCGTAGATCTGATACAAAAGAGTGGCCGAAAAGCCTAAGAACGAAAAACCCTAATTGAAACGCAGCTCGCTAACAGAAAAACGGAAATATTCATAAATGCTAGTTTTGGTGGTGAGAGCTCTGAAAATCGTGTCCCTTGCTTCTGCCCTAGACCTCTTATTTATATACTCCTCGCCTTGGCCATTCGGTCTTTCCATTTCGCCCAGATTTGACTATATCGGGAATTTTACATTTTTCTCGATCCTTCCTTTTCTTCCGCGGTAATCTTCTATTTTTCTTCAAACCTTCCTTTTATCTTCAAACTTGACATTTATTTTCCTTCCGCGAGTAACCGTTAAAACGTTATCGTATCTTCGGGTTAGATTCCGTTAAGATCGCGAGATGGGTTTTTATCGCGTTTTTAGGACCTTCCGGGCCGTTCTGCGATAAATCCATTTTCCGACTTTGTACGGGATCGTTTCCTAATCTGATGCCGTTTTTAATAAATTCCTCGAGCTACTCGCAAGGTTTTACGATTTACTCGACGTTTTTATTAAAAACGCATTTTTTACGATTTACTCGACGTTTTTATTAAAAACGCGCTTTTTATGATTTCAACAAGAAATCTCGAACAAGTCGTATAGTTTTAGGCAATGTTCGGTGTTTCGTTTAACCGTTGCCGTTTTATACGATTTCCTCGAGTTCTTCGTCGAGAAAGCGAAGTTTTACGGTTTTTATCGTAAAACTCGAACGATAGGTCGGATCGAGATGGAACGGGAGACGTTTCGGCCGGGGTTCAGAATGCGACCGTGTCGAAAGACGTAAGTTTCGAATCGGGGATGCGGGAGATCGAGGCTCGGGACGTCCAAGAAGTCTTTAGTTCGCCCAAAGGCGAACTAATCCGGCTGGCTTAGTTCGCCCGTGGGCGAACTAGTCGGGACGAGACTAGTTCGCGTTTTACGGCTGTTTCGGTTTTTTGCGGTTTCATAAAACGATTCTCGAATTTTATAAAACGATCTTCGAGTTTTATAAAACGATTTTCGAGTTTTATAAAACGATTCCCGAGTTTTATAAAACGATCTTTGAGTTTTATAAAACGGCTTCTCGAGTTTTATAAAACGATCTTCGAGTTTTATAAAACGATCTTCGAATTTTATAAAACGGACTCTCGAGTTTTATAAAACGATCTTCGAGTTTTATAAAACGGCTTCTCGAGTTTTATAAAATGATCTTCGAGTTTTATAAAACGATTCTCGAGTTTTATAAAACGATCTTTGAGTTTTATAAAACGGCTTCTCGAGTTTTATAAAATGAGCTTCGAGTTTTATAAAACGAGCTTCGAGTTTTATAAAACGGCTTCTTGAGTTTTATAAAATGATCTTCGATTTTTATAAAACTGCCTCTCGAGTTTTATAAAACGATCTTCGAGTTTTATAAAACGGCTTCTCGAGTTTTATAAAACGATCTTCGAGTTTTATAAGACGATTCTCGAGTTTTATAAAACGATCTTCGAGTTTTATAAGACGATTCTCGAGGTTTATAAAACGATCTTCGAGTTTTATAAAACGGCTTCTCGAGTTTTATAAAACGATCTTTGAGTTTTATAAAACGGTCTGCGAGTTTCATAAAACGTCTTCTTGTTTTATAAAACGATCTTGTGTGTTTTATAAAACTATTCCTTTTATGTTTTTGCGGGGAGTTTTGGTTATTGATTCCGTCGTACCGATTTTGACCCCAACAAAAGCCACAATCTTTGTCTTCCCCACTAGATATCCCAGAGCAGTAAGAGCTTCCGTGGTATAGTATTCCACAGGAATATCGCTGATTTGGACCCAAAGTGGTATGTACTGCAAGTAATCTTCAGGTGGGTTCTCAACCCAACGTTCAACCACAATCACCCATTCATTGAAGGTATGGACTCCTCTTTCAAAAATCTCCACCAAGTCATGTTCATACTGAAAGATGAACTGGAATCTCTCATGAGACAGAGTTATACCACGTACACGCCCTTCTTTGAGCCATTTCCTTGGCATCTTCATTATTAGCGTAGACATTTTTTGACAGTCAGGGTTAAGAAGCCTTCCCATAAGGCTGAGCCTGTTGTTTTCCGCCGCACTGAATCCCGGAAGCTCCAGCATCACAAACGGAGTGTCTTCTTCGTCAAGAGATAAAGCCATCAGGGCCTTATCCATAGCCAACGACATGATTCAAGTATTAAAACTACTCACTTCTTAGTTAATTCTCACCCACTTTCACCAACCAGTTTTCAATAAATGAAGAACAGTATGGAGAAACAGATAATATTTTGAAAAAGTAAGTTATGTATACTCAAAACTCAAGAAAAGAGTTGACTTAAGCTTCTAAAACGTGTTAGATCTGGAAAATAACGTTTATCAACGTAACCACACTTAAAAAACAACTGAGTAATAACTAGAGCCTACTAGGGGTCGCTTGGGAGAATCTACACTATTTTACTTCTATTTATCCTTTTCGTTTACATAGATTTCTCCCCACACTCATATACCCAAAAGATTTGTAGAACTACTTTATACTTCCTCTATATCAAAATAATTGATTTTCAAGATTTTTGCACATCTATTAAAGAATTACAAACTTTTATTTATTTTTTCTCATTTGACTAAAAATAAAAATTATTATAATTACTTTAACCAATATAAATAGTAAAAACAAATTACCTTTATTTTTTACCCGAAAATTTGAAAACGTCATTTGAACCCAAACAATTTTTTTTTTAAAAACACCACTTAACTTAAAATGATAAGAAATAAGCACTTGGAAAACTAAGGTTGAATCCGTTTATTAGAGTTTGGTCTCCATTTAAGCATAAAATATTCGTTTATTAAAAAAAACATCTAAACTGAAGAAGAAGAGTTCCTAACACAATATGGTTTTGTCCGGTTGGTCGAATATCACTAAATAGTCTAAGAATATGATAATAGAATGACAGAATCAACATAAAAGTATCCAACAAGTTCCTTGTTTTTAATACCAGTACTAGATTTTGACCCGCGCAACCGTGCAGGTGTTTGTTTTCGTTTATAGTTAGTTATATAAATATTTTGTTTTCACTTGTAAATTGGTATATATTATAGTAATCACTTATTTACGATATGTATAGTAAATGTTTTTCAAACATAAAAATATTATATAATAAGTATTTTAATCAAATAGATTGTTTCAAATTTTCTATATTGTACATGTTTTTCAAACATGTGTTTGTTTCTTCTTCTATATTTTATTGTTTGTTAGATTAATATTTCATTTTTAGATAAAGTAATATAAATAGAGCTTTATTAAATATTAGTGTAGTTTAATTTGCAAAGATAATATAAACTTCGAAGAAAATTTTGCTAAAAACTAAACTTATAGATTCAGAAATTAATATTATAAAAAAATTTATTCAAAAATAATTTTTTTAAACAATTTCCTTTTTTAAAAACAATATAATTTTAAAAATTTACATCGAAATAAATTTACCTAATGTATATAGCGTGTAAATTTTGTTAGGGTATATAAATATTCCATATTACCTAATGTATATAGCGTGTAAATTTTGTTAGGGTATATAAATAGTACATATTTCCTTATAAATAATAGAACATTCATAAACTTATATCTATTGACATATTTTGCGTGACTCAGTTGGAAGGTGTAGAGTAATTTACCAAAACTAAATTGTTAAGCGTATCTTTGTTATTATAGATATGATTTTTTCATAAGATATAATAATGATAAGATTATTAAAGAATTAATGTAACATAACTTTTTAGTAATAGTACATTTTTAAAAAAAAAATCACACATGAAGTGAAGTCATGACTTCTGTTTTAATATATAAGATTTTACATTATATAAAAAGTACAATAAAAATAAACAAAAACCATTTTTATACACACATAGAGTACAATAATTAGCTTCTAAATGGAGTTTAGGGTCACACACTCTGACAGATAAAGAACACTTTAATCCCACTGCCTCCTTTATTCTGCATTTTCTCTTTTCGGTTTCTCACTTTATTGTTTTGCTTTAAGATAATGTAATTTTTTGAACGAAATGTGAGTACTGAAAGATTTGCACCGTTTAGTCCATCACTGAGATTGCTGGGGACACATTCATTACTCATCTCTTTGTAAAAAACACCCAACCAGATCAAGCTTATAGCTGGTCTATAAGTATATTTGACTTGTTGATATGACAAAAATAAATTCCAGTATTGACTTATTCATAGACTGTGGGATCATAAAGAAAACTCTAACAGTTCCTATCAAATTTAATTCAACAAGGACGGCAAACACATGATGATGACACTGTCATACATTAACTTCCGTTTACTTAATTATAATTATTCAGACAGAACTTATTTGATGGCTTTGCTGTGGTTTCTTAGTTCCTGTCTTCGTCAGTATGGATGTTATTATGGTAGACAATTGTCAACTGTCGTCGTCGTTTTCACATTTTTGTAATGACTAAACTAAAAAGGAAAAACATTTTCATTAGGGTTATGGAATGACTGAGTCAGGAACGGTGACTAAGTCATTAGCTTTTGCAAAGAACCCATTCAAGACCAAGTCTGGTGCGTGTGGGACTGTGATCAGAAACGCCGAGATGAAAGTGGTTGACACCATAACTGGAGTCTCCTTACCACGCAACAAACCCGGCGAAATATGCGCCCGAGGTGATCAACTCATGAAAGGTAAACGAATAAATGCTTTGTACGTTTCTTTTTTCGTACATGGGAAGAACGCTTTGATGGTGAATAAATGGTGCCATGTTGTTAGGTTATCTGAATGATCCGGAGGCTACTGCTACAACAATAGACAAAGACGGATGGTTACACACAGGAGATATTGGGGTTTGTGGATGATGACGTACGATGAGGTCTTCATTGTTGATCGGTTAAAGGAACTTATCAAATTCAAAGGATATCAAGTAGCTCCAGCTGAGCTTGAAGCATTGCTTATTTCTCATCCTCATATTGAAGATGCTGCAGTTGTCGCGTGAGTTTTTAAACATATGTGAAAAAAATTCCAATTCAAAACACTGTAATTTGTAGTTTCTAATGAAGTTGGAATTTTCAGGATGAAGGATGAAATAGCTGATGAGGTCCCCCGGTAGCATATGTGGTTAGATCAGAAGGGTCTCAGTTAATTGAAGATGATGTCAAGAGTTTTGTCAACAAACAGGTAAAGATTTTACTATCAGTCTCTAAACGGAAAACACACAAAGATGGATGGATGGATAATTTTACATGTGTCTTATATTAATGTTGTGATAATCTCATCATGTAGGTGGTTCATTACAAGCGAATCAAGATGGTGTTTTTCATAGAAGCTATACCAAAAGCAGTGTCCGGAAAGATTTTGAGGAAGGAACTCCGAGCTAAACTGGAACTTGAGTACCCTAAATAGACACAAGAGAGTTGTGGATGTGTGTGTAAGTTCCAACGCTAAGGTCACTAAGAAGCAATAATCTGGTATCCGATTTGGTTTCAAGACATCAATCCTGTAAAGCCAAGCACATTTCTATATATTTATAAAGTAGTATGAAGTTTTAATTACTCTCTCTCATGTGACTGTGTTTTAGTTATGACGCACTTCATGTTATCTGTGTGGGCTGACCTGTAAGTCTTGATTGACTATAAAGGGCAAAACAGCAGAAGGGTCCTTCGATCCGCACGACCTGAAACATGAATCTTCCTGTGTTAGGGAGTGATTTCTAACAACAGAGATCGATTAAGATTGGCAGTAGAAACAACTAACTCAACTAACTTTGAGAGTCAACTTGTTAACTATAAGAAAAAAATAAGGAAAAATTAAGAATCTTTGAGAAATATACAGATAAATTATAATATTTTTAAAACAAATTTAGATATATTGCTAAATTAAAAGTTATAGTTTTAAGGAAACATCAAACATAGTTATTAACTTTTAAAAAATATTATTAAATCATAAATATATTATTATTATTTTTTTTGAACAGGGTCTAAAATTTATTTGAGACGGTTATGTTCACTACAAGCAACTAAATTTAAATTTAACAAGTGCTAATGGTTGATACAACACATGTAGGGATAGATAAATTCATTGTCAACTACTAACTTACTTAAAGAAACCCTCGTCCCCAACACACTACTACCTGTTGTTTCTTCTTACAATTATGGTAAAATATGAACGATGATGCTTGTTAAATAAATAATTAGCGGTTCCTAAACACCATTTAACACTTTGATCCTAAAATCATCAAAGCAAAAAAGCAGAAAAATAATAAAATAAAATAATCAAATCGTTTTCCCTCTTCATTTTCATCGTGTTCTTCATCAGCCATAGCAGGTCTTCACCGCCACAGCCCCAACGCTGGTGCGTCGGGAAGCCAGGAACAGCTCCGGCGCAACTCCAAGAAAATTTGGACTTCGCCTGCGCGTCTGTTCCGTATCATCTACAACTCTGTACCAAAGATCATCGTTCGCGATAGAGCTGTCTCAAATAAATTTTAGACTCTGTTCAGAAAAAAAAATTAACAATATATTATGATAATGAAATTTTTTAAAAAGTTAATAACTATGTTTGATGTTTCTTTAAAAATTATACGTTATAATCTAACAATATATCTAATTTTTTTTTAAAAAAATTATCATAATTTATCTATATATTTTTTTTTCTTTTTTCCTTATTTTTTCCTTATTTTTTTTTTTATTCTTATATTTGAGGTTTTGTTCGACCGTTCTACTTGCACATGCTATTAGACGTCTCTGGTTCGCGATGAACCTATATTACAAGCAATTCGGAGAGACTGAGGCGAGCTGCTTCTTCAAACAAAGCGGCATTCTTGTCGACCAAAATCCGAGCTCCCTCTTCTGCAGCTACGAGGAAAGAGGCAGAGCCACAGAAGGTGGAGCCTTGTTTTCGTAGTTGTCTTTTTACTTGTTGGTGGTTATGTTTGTATAACCAAGAAACCCCCCCCCCTTGCTCAATGTCTTCGATTCTTGGGGGAGCTTTTTATTAAGTTTGTTGTAGGTCTTGTTTGAATGTCATTTCGCCTTTCGAAAAAATGAAAGCTAATCGGACAACGAAAACTACATTGAGCTGTTCGGTTCGTATAATTAATAATTTCTATAATATTGGTATTGATCTTATAACTCTAATCTCGAATCAGATTTGGTTTAGTACTTTTTGAATGATGATATTTTCGAGTATATATCTAAATGAACTAAAAAAATTCAAAATTAACCAAAGTAACAAAATACCTAAAATATAGAAAATAATTTAAATTTATATTAATAGTTGAATATTGTAAGTATTAATATATTTATACCTCAGCTAATTTTTGGATACTAGTAATTTTTTTTAGTTCAAAACCGGTTCTTTGGATATACAAATCATGTACAGTTTGGATATCTATGCTGAATCGGGTTCAGTTTGATACTTTAAAATTTTGATCGGATCTGGTTTTCCGGATAATTTATCCATACCTATTTTTGGGTCAACCTACTAATTCTCATTCAAGGTCTAATATATGTTTGAGTCAATTCAATTAATAGTAGTTTATGTTCAATAGATTAGATTCAAATATTAAGGCAGGTCAGTGTAACATAAATTTGAAATTGAAAATTTGAAGTGCTTGTATAAAATTTTAATACTCATTTTAAATACCAACTAGTTTTTGACCCGCGCTTAAAAGCGCGGGTTAATTTTTGGTTGATAAAAATATTTGATATAAATAAGTATTTTAGTTTTGTTGTAAATACTATGTTACAAAATTGTATTATATCAAAAAATAAAATTATTTTTATTCAGTTATTTAATAATTGTATTTTAAATTATTTAAAATTTGTATATGATATGATGAAACTAAACACGTCTATTATTTGAAAATAAGTTATTTTAAATTATAAAAAAATTTCTTAAACCCTTTTTATGATTGAATACCTAAACAAAAGTCAGCAGGATTCTGAAGCGGAAACTCCTCCACACCTTCTCCGCCATCCTCGACTGTTATCATCCCCTAGATAGAGAAACACACCTGATTTGCCGTCATTAGCAATCTCTCCAGTCTCGACCGAAACTTGTTTTTTTTTCTCTCGAAGTTTTACCCGAATTATATTTTATGAAAATCTAAAATTTATCCAAAACCTAAAATTATATCAGAAAACCCGAACCCAAAACTTTAAAAAAAAAATCCAAAATACCAAAAATATACCCAACTACTCAAATATACTTAACATATACAATAATTTGTAGATATTTTGGGTATCCGACCGGATTTCGGGTAGAACCTAAACTCGAATTGAGATCAGCATGTCCAAAAAAAAGATCCAATAGGTACATAATTAAAATAGTTACACAATATATTTAATACATATTTAATTGTATTTAAATAAACATATTAGTTATGTTTCACTAATAGAAACATGCTATATTTGAAATTAAATATATGTGTTTATGTGCGTGCGACGACATATATATATATATATGTGTGTGTTTACCTACATATATGCAGGTAAGAGATCAATTTGCACATAGTTCATTTCGTTTTGTTTATGATTTCCTTACCCCACTTATTTAATCCGGGCTTAGTTTGGTTATATTACAACAAAGAAACCACAACTTGGTCGAACACAAACCACAAAATAATTATATAGATGAACCTATAATTCGAACACAGCAGAGGAAACCTGTTTCATATATCGACATTCGCAGTCTGTATGGGAAAAACGATTGATCTCGTTAACAAAAAAAAAAAACAGCCTACTTGTCTTTTCTTTTCCTCTTTTATAGCTTCATACGAAAGTAACACCTCTTTGAATTTTGCTTCAGCTACACAGGCCCGGACCTGAGGGGATACATATGAACCATTGGTATGGACCCCCAAATTAGTAAGGCACACAATTTAGAAAATAAATAATAAATTTTGTATATTGTATTTAATAAAATAAAATATTATACATTATAGTAAAAGAGTTTATGTAATAAAAACAGATAAATTAACTAATTTGATAAATATCTATATGCTAAAAATATATTTCAATAGTTTAAAAAAAAAATTAAGAAAGTATCAAAACAAATAAAATTTTGCAATTTTTGTTTTGTTTTGTTTGGGGCCTCGCTAAACTCAGGACCGGTCATGCAGCTACATCTGCAACAATCGATGAAACCACACTCAAATCAAACACACAGTAAGATCAAAGTAGGGTCAGTTATATTAAACTATAACGTCACCTTTGTTATCTTGATTTTGGTCTGGATGGAATTCCTTCGCCTTCTCCCCGAAGGCTTTCTGAATGTATAACAAAATCGAATCAAAGCATAAGGACTAAGCGAGGATTACTGCACCATCAGAGTTGTTACTTTCAATGCTTACCTTAATCTCAGCCTCTGTGTATGGAGTTGCCCTGGACCTACAACACAAGAAACACGTACGTAGTAAGTTCAATCGACTTGTTCAGACTTAAGTAGCTAAAATCAGAATCGAACTGTTTCAATATTGACCAAGAACTTAAGATTTAAACAGAATCAATGACCAGAAACAGAAACAGAACCAAGACCAAACCGAAAGTGACTCAAAGAGGAGTTTCAACTCTCTCAAAGCCCTAAGACTTCTAAGATCATAATATGTTCTCACCAACACTTATGTACACTATTTCTATCAGTTTTATGTGTGTGTGAGCATTTTGTTTCTATAATAGAAAGAAAAAAGAAAAAAGAAAACCCTGCTGAGCCATAAAACATTGATCCTTCTGATGTATCTACAGGTAAAAAATATTAGTTTGTAGCATTTATAGGTTTTATTACAGTAAATGAAAAATATAGTTGAATGAGACCATTGCTTGAGTTGAGCACTACAATAACAACATGTTAAAGATGACATCTCACCTCCGGAAGCATCTGTCTTGCATCAATGGTCCTGGTGGTTAAATAATACAGGTTTGTTGAGGAGGGTCAGCGAGCAATCAAACACATCACATGTTGAAGCAGAGAGTAATGAGAATGGTGGCGGGTTTGTTAAGCTTACGGGTCGCTAGAGTGGTAAGTTTTCTCTTCATGTGTTTTTCCCTTGAAAATTATAGTTCAAAACCTTTTCAGCTGTTAATGAATAAACGCTATTGAATTACAACAGGATCATAGTGATGTATGCTACATAAGTTAGCAGAGAGGTCGATTGCTACCTTACTCTTACTCATGAGTCAGCATTTGTTCCCGAAGGAAAAGGTGGACTCTTGGAGTTCATTGAGAAACTGATCAAGTTGAATGGTGATTGTTCTTGCGGAAGAAGCAGGGCAAGAGTTGATGTGCAAAAGCATGGAATCTAACAGACGCCTCTGAAAACAAGCTCCTTAAAGATGTCGCTTCTGGCTACCACAACGCTTCAAGGTAAAAAAAAAATAGATTCAAACTTTCTTATATGCAATTCC